ATTATCATCAACTCGTTGACTGATTCAACTAGTTATCTGGAAAATTTGTTTGTAGTTAGAATTCAATCCATGAGGAGCCTATGAAATTTTAACATCTGTTTAGCAAGTAGGAATTGTTTGTCTTTCTAAAGTCATGATGAGCATATTGTGTTTTAAGATTTGGAATATGCCAACATTGACCGGCACATGGTGAGGATGTGGTTTTCTGTTTTTGCTCCAAAATTTAATAAGCTGGAACAACCACTAAAAAATAGGGAAATTGACGTGTCCGGAAATTATTGTAAAAAGAAAACAAAAATGTGAAGTAAATAGATATTTGAAATGGTGAATTATAATAGGATAGTAAAAAAAAATACATGTTATAATATAGATGAAATAGTAAATTTGTCACAGTGAAAAATGTCTTGCGCTTTAATATAGTTTTGCTTCTACAAGAATTAATGAGAAAGTGTGTTTGATGAAATTCCATAGATAGACCAAAAAGAAAAGGGTAGGCACGTCTGCCCATTTCATTAAATTTGTGCCTAACTTGAAGACCAAAACGAAGATGTATGCTATTAGTTTTGAGTAAGACTAACTTGGTCGTGGACCTATAGCAACTAGCAACTGTGGGGGCAAATATTTTCGTCTCCAATTATGGCATGCCACGTGAAAAAGAAGAATATCCCTTAAATTTATTAATTGAATCAATTTATTTGGCCAATTAATTAATTGGAATAATATCTTAATTATGAAATATTATCTTTATTTAATAAGATAATGCCATTAATTTATATATTATCCTAATAAGGAGATATAATCATTATCAAATTAGGAGATTGATCCCAATCAAATCCCTAATGGACAAAATCTCTACAATTTGTCGAAAGAATAAACTCCTTCATAATGAGAGTTTTATTCTCTACGAAACCCTAGCCTCCGAGGCTCCTATAAGTAAATGGCTTCATTCATCAAGTTAACTCTCACCTAACTCTAAACTCCGGCCTCCCGGACCATTTTTTAGCTATTGTTTCACTTAGATTCAATCAAACTAACTTAGGCATCGGAGGGCCTTTGGCCAACACCCCCGGGTGTGGTCTAGAAGCGAATGTTCTCCCCCGAGATAATTTGCACAAACAGCAACAATGATACGATGGTAGATTTGTATGAGATCATAAGGGCATGGGGTGGAACAAAACAATATGCTGGAATATCCTGTCTCATATGAGAATTTTCTTTGCTCCTTAGTCAATTAATTAACAACTGGCTTTTGCCTTAAATATATAGTTCGCCCAAGCATACTCCAACTCTAAAACTAAGCTCGCCAAACTAATTAAGGGGGTGATTGGATTCTAAATGCTGGCTGGCTGACTAATAACTACAGTTCTGATCGGTACCCACTTGACCAACTTGCACACAAGCTGAAATAAACCACAGCATGTCACATTAAGACACCTTCTCACAGCTATTATAATGAAGCAGGGATTCAAATTTAAGAAAGAAGACTAAAACCTAATTAATGTCACATCAATACACATGTTTTAACTGTTTCCCGCCACACAATTTTTGCTTAATCACGATTCACATCTAATTGACTTACTATATGTGCGACATTACCTAGTTCTGAAATGATAAGTGACGCAAAAGTTCTACCATTTCGTGGAAAAAGTCTCTCATAACTTTTTCTCCTTATGGTGGTTGGGGGGAGGGGCAGTGAATAAATATTGGCCCTATTTCCAGGTGTGCATGGGATGGAACAATGAGCTAAGAAAGGGACGTCATTTTTCAAAATTATGTACGTCATACACTGCCCCTTGCCCATTACCCGCTCTATATAACCTTAAGACACCTTCTCACAGTTATTAAGAAAAACACCACCTCCAAAATGAGTATCCTCAGAAACCTCCTAGTCTTCTGCATCCTATGTGTCACTCTCCTCTTTGCATCAACCAGTGCAGCTCGTTTTGATATCCGAAACAATTGCCCCTTCACCGTCTGGGCAGCCGCCACGCCAGGCGGCGGACGCCAACTTAATAGAGGCGAAAGTTGGGGCCTAGACGTGGCTGCCGGAACCAAAGGGGCTCGCATTTGGGCCCGGACCGGATGCAGCTTTGATGGAGCCGGACGTGGGAGATGTCAAACAGGTGATTGTGGGGGTGTCCTCCAATGCCAAGCCTATGGCCAACCCCCAAACACCCTAGCTGAATATGCCCTTAACCAATTTAACAACTTGGATTTCTTTGACATTTCCCTTGTTGATGGCTTTAATGTTCCCATGGACTTTAGTCCCACGTCTAATGGGTGCAGTAGGGGTATCAAATGTACGGCTGATATTAATGGGCAGTGTCCTAGCCAACTTAGGGCTCCAGGAGGCTGCAACAACCCTTGCACTGTGTTCAAGACTGATGAATATTGCTGCAATTCTGGGAGCTGTCAACCTACAGATTTCTCTAGGTTTTTCAAGAGTCGGTGCCCGGATGCTTACAGCTACCCTAAGGATGACCAAACAAGCACATTTACATGCCCTGGCGGGACCAACTATAGGGTTGTGTTCTGCCCATGAAGAAGCAGATACGTCTTCTAGTTTATAATATCTATGAATAAGTCTGTGATGCAATAAAATTAGTATGAGGGCTTTGTCATCAGCACATGTAATGGTGTGCATTATGTAAAACAAAGTACCTGTATTCTCTCACTCGGTTCAGACATCATAAAGAAATGAAAGTCTCAGTTTTTCATTTTCTATTGAGTAGCACCATCTTTAATTTCGATCTATTCGATGAAAAATGATTGAAAAATAAAGTGAAACTTACGATCATCATTCTTGCTTTATTTTTCTTAATGCTGGGCGATTTTGCTTCATATATTACCTAATGGATGTGAAAATTTGGTTACCTAAATTCGAAACTAATGTTGAAGCTCAATGGGTTATAGCTCTTCTATCACAAGAAGTATATCATCAGTGGTCATTCCTAGTAAAAGTATTCATATATGAAAAAGAGACCTATAAATCGAAAGCAATACAGGTTGTCAGATGCAGTTTGAGATCTCTAGGGAAGCTTCTCTTAGGGCCCGTTTGATAACTATTTCAATTTTAGTTTTTAGTTTTTATTTTTTGTGCTAGAGTAGTGAAGGGAAAAAATGGAGAATGGAAGTGAGAATGAGAGTAAAAATGGGATTGAGAGGGAAGATGAGAGGGGAGGATGGAAGGGAGGAGTAACAAAAGTGAAAATAAAAAATAGAAACTGAAAATCTATTTGGAATTGTTTTCACTTTTGTTATACTCCTCCCATCCTCCCGTCTCATTCTCTCTCTCAATCTCATCCTCTCATTCTCTCTCTCAATCTCATCCTTACTCCCATTCTCACTTCGGTCTCCGCTTTTGGGGGCGGGAGTGCTTAGTCGCTGGGGTTTCCTCAACCAATTCAGTTGTGTTAGCCCTGAGATTGGTCCTCTCAGTTTCCTTTGTACTCTACCACCCAATATAAAAACTAAAAACTAAAATTGAAATGATCATCAAATGAGCCCTTATTTTCTTTGATTTATTTTTCAGATTTTAGAGTGTTTTGGTTCTATCTCTTTTGGAACGCAATTGTCCCTTCACCGTTTGGGCAGCAAAGTATTGCAAACTTTGACTATAATATTCCATTAATTGTAATAATAATAATAATAATAATAATAATAATAATAAAATCAGGCGCAAGTCTGATTCTTAGAAATTCTCTTATGGTCTTTGAGATTTCTATAGCAAATTGGATAAACCCAAGTCCATACGTTTTTTCTTTGGAGTCTTGACAAATTTGTATGTTTATTGTTGCGCATTAAGCCAAAAACAAATATGAACATAAATTATGTATATGACTCTATCGATCTATTGTAGAATTGTTCTGCGGACCCAAACCGCAAAAAAATAGTGGTTCTGTTAATGATGAAACTATAGTCTTCGATTTTTTAGAATCAGAAGAAAAGCTAATTAATAGATCAATTATCATCTCGATAAATTGTTAATATTGACATCATCGATAGTATTCCATTATATTGATAATAAAAAAAATTCAGTCTTTATATCGCATAAGTATCGATAATAATAATCCTATTTTAAGGCCCCTAATATTCTTAGTCCAAAAGTTGCCTGAGGCTAAGAGAGGGGGAGGAAGCAAGTCAAATTCGATTTTCTTTAAGAGTTATGGACTACCTATATCTTTTGAAGTGCCGTACGCTGTTCTTGTTGATTGGTCAAAAGGAAAAACTTGGTCATAGCAATATAGGGTAGATATTGTTGAATATAATGACAATTAATTAAGGGTGGAAAATAATAATGTATATGCCAAAATATCCTGTCTCCTTGAGAAGCTGTGGACAGAAAGCGTAGGACTTTTTCTTCAGCGTGGACTGGCCACAGATCCCACCCATGAGTCTTTCATGTATTTTGGCAGCCTGCTACTAAAATAATTGAACCAGCCTTTGTGAAAGCTGTGTCTACCGACAAAATATCAATGCTTACTTAGTAGGAAGTTGATCTCTTAAATCTTGAAACGTATTTCCAAAATCTTAAATTTTGAACCAAACATACCTTAAAAGTGTATGAAGCTTTTCCAAGAATTAACATAATTAACCGATGTTTTAGACTCAGGCAAATCCAATATATATTTCCTTTTTCTTTGTCGACACATTATATTTTGTATTTTTTGTCTGATATAATAGAGCCAAAAGAGACACATTAATTCATACTTGATGTCTTATTGGATAAAAATGTAGCTAAATGTATCTCATTGATTTAATTTCGTAGAATAAAATTACACATCATTGACTTAATTTACTTGCTTTTTTTCCTTCCTTGTGGAAAAAAGGGAAAGTGAAGAAGAAATTTCCCTTTCCTTTCCATGTGCAGTAGCGGACATAGACTAGAAAACAAAGAAAATGACCTAAGAAAGGGATGCCAATTAATTTTGTGATACAGTTCTTCTTTGCTCTATACAATTAACCCCATGAATATAGCGTCTTTACAATTCAATTCCAAAATGAGCCTCCTGCTTATCAGAAAAAACCTTTCATCCATTTTCTCCATCCTATTGATATTGATCATCATCACCCTCTTCTTTGAAACTATTCATGGAACACATTTCAACGTCCGAAACCAATGCCTCTTCACTGTCTACGCAGCCTCCCTTCCCGGCGGAGGTAAGCAGCTTCTACCAGGCCAAACTTGTGTTGACGTGAGTCTCCTAATTAATCAAGGAGATTTACTTCATTGATTAATTAAGGGATTTACTTTCCTATTTGTATATAAGTGATAAATCATTGTACAATTAGGAGATACTTTCCTAATTCTCTACTGTATTTAATTCCTTGTAAAACCCTAATATAAACTCCTATATATATCTCCTTATGGAGACGAATAAAACTTGACCCAAAGTATTCAGACCATATTCATATTTTAGCATGGTATCAGAGCAATCGATCCTAGGTTGTCTCTAAACCCTTATCTCAAATTTCTCATATTCAAATCCAAAACCCTAAATCAAATTCCTCACATTTTTCCCCAAATCCAAATCCCTCAAATTTAAAGTCCTCAAATCCTCTTATCCAAATCCCTAAACACATACCCTCAAATCTTATACACATACCTCTCAAATCCAATTCCTACATCAAATTCATACATCCAATTCCTCAAATCAAATTCCTCCAAACACAATTCCTCACCTCCTCATATCACATCTTACTTCTGTTGCGATATCAGGAACCCCTACGATTCTCCCCCTTATTGCAGACTCATAGAAGCATGCGGTCAATCCTGCTGACCCAGCTATCCAGACTCATGCTTCTATCGCCACCACCAAAGGTTCTACTTTTCATAAGTCCTCTCAAAACTCAACATGGATTATCGACTCGGGTGCTACGGATCACATGACATTTGATCCTGGCCAACTTATTAGCCGCAAATCATCCACTCCGTCGGTGGTGTCTAATGCTAATGGTACCCCCGCCCTTGTGGTTGGGGAGGGCTCTCTATCTCTATCTACTTCTCTACATCTGGATTCTGTATTACTTGTTCCATCTTTGAATCATAACTTGTTATCTGTTGCCTAACTTACTACTACTTTGGGATGTACTGTAACATTTTGGCCGAATCATTGTGTTTTTCAGGACATCCTCACAAGAAAGACGATTGGTTGTGGTACTTGGCGGGGCAAACTCTACTACTTGAATTGGGCACCGGATAATGAGATCAAGGTTGGTCAAGCTTTCACAACCAGTGGAACTCGTTCTGAGGGGGAGAGAGACAAAATTTGGTTATGGCATAAACATCTTGGGCATGCCTCGTTCGGTTATCTTAAGAAGTTGTTTCCATCATTATTTTCCAATCTTGATGTTTCCAGCTTCCAGTGTGATATGTGTGAATTGGCTAAAAGCCATCGTGTCCCGTTCCCATTACGTTCAAATAAGAGTTTGGTTCCGTTTTCTCTTGTTCATTATGATGTTTGGGGACCTGCTCAAATTGCCACTCCGGCAGGGGCGTGATGGTTTGTCATGTTTATGGATGATTGCACACGCATGACTTGGGTTTCCCTTCTCAAAACTAAAGGGAAAGTCATTCAAGGTTTCAACAGTTTTATCAAATGTTGGAGACTCAGTTTCATGCCAGAATTCAGGTTCTTCGTTCTGACAATGTCTGAGAATTTCTCAATCATGATCTTAACCAGTTCTTACAAGATCATGGCATCATACATCAACGCTCATGCCCTTACACTCCCCAACAGAATGGGGTGGCTAAAAGAAAAAAAACAGACACTTATTAGAAGTCGTTCGTGCCTCTCTCTTTGGTGCCAATATGCCACGATTCTATTAGGGCGAAGCCGTCGTCTCTGCAGCACACCTTATCAATCGGATTCCCTCTAGTATCCTAAATTTCCAAACACCACTTCAAACACTTCACCACCATATCCAAACACCTCCTACCCCAAACCTGGAATCCTGAATTTTTGGCTGTGTTGTATTTGTCCACTTACATGATCACTAATGAAGCAAATTGGATCTCGAGTCGAAAAATGTGTTTTCATTGGCTATGCACCTCATCAGAAAGGATACAGGTGTTATCATCCTCCTAGTCAGAAGGTCTTTACCTCCATAGATGTTGTGTTTCGAGAACATGACTTATACTTTTCAACAGCCTAGAAGGAGAATGGAGAATCCACCACTGCTCCAATTCTCAATTTTTTTCCCCGGGACGTCACTCTGCATCAAATTGACCAGTAGCCAGTGAAAAGCAACCAGTCGCCCCCCTTAGTTCTTCAACTACAGAGAACCTGCTTCAAAATGACCAGTCGCCATAAGAAAACTATCTGTTGTCTCCACGAGGTTAGAATCAGGAGGAGGAAATTGAATCGTTTTATGAGATTTTGCACGCTTCAGCTCCAGTACCACACCAATCACCTGCTGAGGAAGTCATTCATGTAACATCTTTTCCTGAAACTGATAACATTAATGAAATATCTCATGATGATTTGATTTTAGAAGGCACATAGCCTACATCAGCTTCCAGAAAGGAAGAACCGTGGTAAACCTCGAGTGCAATATGAAGCAAATCTTAAAGCCAAAGGGAAATACCCAATCAATAATTATATATCTCACTGCAGATTATCAGAGTCTTGTGTGCACTATGTGAAGTAGTTGGCTGACATATATGTCCCCAACAGTGTAACTGAAGCACTAAAAGTCCCAAAATGGAAAGAAGCTATGAATGAAGAAATGCGAGCTCTCCAAAAGAATGTCACATAGGAACTCATGCCCCTACCTCATGGAAAGAAGATAGTAGGATGCAGGTGGATTTATACTGTGAAACTCAAAGCAGATGTATCCGTTGAAAGATATAAAGCTGGATTGGTTGCGAATGGTACACACAAAGATATGGGATAGACTACGAGGAGACCTTTGCCCAGTAGCTAAGATTAACACTATTAGAGTCCTATTGTCTCTAGCAGCAAATCTCGATTGGCCACTACATCAGTTTGATATCAAAAATGCATTCTTACATGGAGACTTGGAAGAAGAAGTATATATGGACTTACCCTCAGGATGTAATTCAGCTCCTGACAAGAAAAATCAAGTTTGCAAACTCAGAAAGTCATTATATGGGTTAAAGCAATCTCCTAGGGCATGGTTTGACATATTTACTAAATCTATGAAGAATTTTGGATATACACAGAGTAATTTAGATCACACCCTGTTCTTGAAGTGTGATAAAGGAAAACTTACTGCATTGATTGTTTATGTAGATGACATAATCATAATTGGAAACGACGCAGAAGAGCAACTGAAGTTGCAAAATTATTTGTCTTAGGAATTTGAGATGAAGGATTTAGGTGATCTGAAGTACTTTTTCATAATCAAAGTAGCAATGTCAAAAACTGGTATATTTCTGTCTCAAAGAAAGTATGTAATGGATCTACTCACTGAAACAAGAATGCTTGGATGTAAGCCTACTGACACACTCATTGAGATGAATCACAAGTTGTGTGAAGACATGGACCAAGAACCAACCAATAAGAAACAGTGTTTCTCATAGGAATGCAGTTGATCGGATATTAAGATACTTAAAGTCAGCCCCTAGGAAAGGATTAATGTTCTCAAAAAATGGAGATCTTGAAGTTGTTGGATATACAGATGCTGATTGGGCTGGTTCCATTACAGATAGACGCTCTACTTCTAGTTACTTTACATTTGTGGGAGGTAACCTAGTCACTTGGCGGAGTAAAAACAAAATGTGGTTTCTCGGTCCAGTGCAGAAGCAGAGTATCGAGGAATGGTTCACGGAGTTTGTGAATTATTGTGGATCAGAAGATTCTTGACAAAATTGGGCTTCAAGCCAGAAAAGCCAATGGAGTTGCATTGTGACAACAAGTCAGCTATCGATATTGCCCACAATCTAGTTCAACATGATCGAACCAAACATGTTGAGGTTGATAGACATTTTATCAAAAAAAAAAAATTGAGAAAAAGTTCATCCGCCTACCATTTGTAAAATCAAAAGATCAACTAGCAGATATTTTAACCAAAGCTGTTTGCAGAAGAGTATTTCATGACTTATTACTTACCAATTTGGGCATTGGTGACATATATGCACCAACTTGAGGAGGAGTGTTGACGTGAGTCTTCTAATTAATCAAGGAGATTTACTTCCTTGATTAATTAAGGGATTTACTTTCCTATTTGTATATAAGTGATAAATCATTGTACAATTAGGAGATACTTTCCTAATTCTTTATTGTATCTAATTCCTTGTAAAATCTTAATGTAAACTCCTATATATAACTCCTTATGGAGAAGAATAAAACTTAACCCAAAATATTCAAACCATATTCATATTTTAGCAACTTGGTCCTTTGACGTGAACATGGGCACTTTCCCTGCCCGTATTTGGGGACGGACCGGGTGCAGCTTCGATGAAGCTGGACGGGGAAAATGCTTAACATGTGATTGTGGAGGTCTCCTCAAATGCCAAGATTCTGGTCAACCCCCATGCACCATGGCTGAATATCATCCAACTTTGAACATAGATTATTTGGATATTTCTCTGGTTGATGGGCTTCCTATGGAGTTTAGTCCCACGGGTGGTGGGTGCGCTAAGGGGATTCGATGTGTGGCTGATATAAGTAGGGACTGCCCTTTTGAGTTGAGGGTACCCGGTGCGTGCAAAAACGCCTGCCTCTTCAACAATGCTTATGATTTTGGCAGATGTAGCGGCCCTACCAGCTACTCCAGGTTTTTTAAGGCTCGGTGCCCTGATGCTTATTCTTACCCTCACGATGACGAAACCGCCTTCTTTTCATGCCCAGGTGGGACTAACTATAGAGTTGTCTTTTGCCCATAATTTATTGAATTAATGAGGAACATAGCTGGTCCTGAGATTTCAAAGGCCTGAGACTTAACGTCTATGAAGCACACATCCATCCATAAAAGTTCGACCTTATTATGGTTTTCCTAATCCTAACTTTCACTTTATTTGTGTTTTTTATGCAATAAATTTTATATTTATTTGTGTAAATGTATTGATTTTCTATGAATATAATATTTAAACCTTATTTTTTTCCAACAATGAAGTGACAATGTTGGCCTCAAATCCCTTGGGAAAAATCGACCCAGCACAAATAGAGGGTAGAAATATTGCATGTAATTGAGTGTGGAAAAATATGCCAAAATATCTTGTCTCCTTGCGAATATAGGGAGGACCTTTTTTTAAATCATGTGCAACGGAAGGAAATATCCCTTTTATATATTGGTATGGAATAATCATTAAGACGAAGCAATTGACCTTCCACTGTTTGGGCAGCAAAGTCTTGCCGTGATTATCTATTGTAATAATAATATAGGCCAAATTGACCGAGACTCTACTTGCACCCAAGTTCGAATCCCTTTTTTTCTAGATTTGATTAATTTAAGGATTGATTACAGTTGATCCAGTTACTGCACACAAAAAAAAAAAACAAAAAACATTCTTATTTAGAAATATTTAGCAACCCAAGTATTTGGTAAAAAGAGGCTGCTTAATTTAAAAATGAGGGAGTTTAGGAAGCTTTAAGAAGCAACCGGCACAATTTATGAGACATTACCTAGTTAGTCATCAACCTCAAAGTACTTACCTTCTACGATTTCGGTTTTGGCGAAAAAGTCTTGGTCTTCTGGAAAGAATGGAAAATAAGAAACTGTCTTCCAATTTCAATGAGTGAAACGAAGTCTTCTTCTTTGTGGAAAAACGAAAAGTAAAGAAGAAATTTCCCTTTCATTTCCATGTGCAGTGCACATAGACTAGGAAACAAAGAAATGACCTAAGAAAGGGATGCCCATTTTATTCAGTGATACAGTTCTTTGATCTATACAATTAACCTCATTATAGCATCCTTACAATTCAATTCCAAATGAGCCTGCTACTGATCAGAAAATACCTCTCATCCATTTTCTTCATCCCATTGATATTGATCATCATCACCCTCTACTTTGCAACTATTCATGCAACACGTTTCGAAGTCCGAAAATGCCACTTCACCGTGTGGGCAGCCTCCATACCTGGCGGTGGGAAGAAGCTTCTTCCAGGCCAAACTTGGTCCTCCGACGTGAACAGGGGTACTTTCCCTGCCCAAATCTGGGGCGAAGCTGGACGCGGCAAATGCCTAACAGGTGATTGTGGAGGTCACCTCAAATATGCCAAGATTCTGATCAACCCCCATACACCATGGCTGAATATCACCATGGCTTAATATATTGTTTATTTTAAAATAAATATCCTAAAACTAATCTAATATATTACTTACAATATCATATATTATGTATAGTATATATATAAAATTGGAAAAAATGGAGTGGGGCCTGGACCACACTGGTCCGTTAATGGCATTGGCTCCGCCACTGCTTTCCAGGATAATCCATTGTAATATGCCATCGCTTTAAGTAATCCATTGTAATCATTTTATTAGTCCCTGAATTTTGACCTCATTTGCATTTGAGTACCTCAATTTCCAAAATGGTTCTCTTGTTCCTTTAAGGTTAGTTGCGTTTGGACAAATGATCCTGTCTTCAATTTTGTTAACTTTTTTCGTTAAATGCAGGGGCAAAATGGTATTTTTATATTAGAACCGAAAAAATGAATAAAAAATCATATCTTTAAAATAATAATAAAATCAAATCAAATAAAAACCAACAAAAAAAAATCAAGTTTGGGGGAGTAGAAAATGGGATAGAGGGGGAGAGAGAGAGAGTTTAATTTTAATTTTTTATTCATATTTTAATCAATTTTGATACAAAAATACCATTTCGCCCCTGCATTTAACTGAAAATTTAACAAAATTGACAGCAAGACTATTTGTCCTAACGAAACTAAAGTTAAAGTACCACGGGAACCATTTTTGAAATTGAGGTACTCAAATGTAAATTGGGTCTAAATTCAGGGTCTAATAAAAGGGTTTATCCTAAATAATTACGTATAAATCCCTCCTTTTTGTTGAATACTTTGTAGAGCCACTCAATTTTCTTCACTCCCATTGTCTTGTTAGTCTATTTTTCGCTTTCATGAATCATTCACATTTTTGAAAAAAAAAACAAAAAACAAAAGAATCATTCACATTCACAAGGGTGACTTTGAACCCTTGATGCGGGTGTGTGCCTCACTGTTTGTGAGCACACATCCATCAATAGAAGTTCGACCCTATTATGGTTTTCCTAATCCTAACTTTCACTTTATATCTTATTATTTGTGTTTTTTGATGCAGTAAATTTTATATTTATTTGTGTAAACGTAGAATCTTTATTTTCTATGAATATAGCATTTAAACCCTAAATTTCCAACAATGAAGTGACAATGTTGGCCTCAAATCCCTTCCGTTAAAGGTGAAACCGAGAAAAAACGACCAACGACAAATAGAGGGTAGAAATATTGCATGAATTGAGGGTGGAGGAATATGCCAAAATATCATATGTCTCCTTGCGAATATAGGGGAGGACTTTTTTTTCAGCGTGGACTGACCATCGATATCGACCCATGATATATAATATATCACAACAATTTATAGGGTTGACCCATATATTGTGCCAGCCTGCTGCTAAATTTAACTGGACCGGCGTTTCTCAAAGTTCAATATAAATCTGGGTGAAGACTGTGCATTATCTTGTTAACCTATGAATCAAAACGACATATTTACACAACAATTAACCTGTAATTGGAAATTAGATAGAAAAAAAAAAACCCCCCTAATAACTATGTAATTTAGGGATTTATTATATGAGTGCCATCAGCTGACACTACTACGTTTCACCATTTGCGCGACGAAGAATAATTCGTCGTGCAAAAGATACTGGCGCGACGAAAGAAAATATTCGTCGCGCAAACCACTAAAAATTTGCGTGACCAAATGTTTCGTCGCACGAAATGTCTTTGCGCGACTAAAAAATTCGTCGTCGCACAAACAGAGTTAAAAAGAGCGGGGGAATTTTTTTGGCGCGAAACATTTGCACGACGAGAAATATCGTCGCTTAAGACAACCTTGCGCGACGGCACTCTGATTCGTCGCGCAAAAAGGGATAGAACCCAGTGGGTCCCTTTATTTGGCGGTAAATACTTGTGCGACGAAATTCTTCGTCGCAAAAGACAGCTTAGCGCGACGGGAAGATGTTTCGTCGCGTAAGAGAACGAGGGATATTTTATTTTTGGCTCCAAAATTACTTGGTTGGGATATTTTTTTTTGCGCGACGTACATACTATTCGTCGCGTAAAGTTCCACGTTTGCGCGACGGAATGTTGTTTTTGCGCGACGAAATTTTGCGCGACGGAAAATACCTGCGTCGCGCAAAAGTTAGATGTCGGCAGGTGATTGCGCGACGAAAAAAATGGTTTGCGCGACGGACTATTTGGTTTTTTGCGACGGAAGTTTGCGCAACGAAATTATGTATTCGTCGCGCAAAGTCCTTCTTCTTCATATTAGAATTCTGCCATTGCAGAGGCAGAATGCAAAAAAAAAAAGCATTTTGCCTCTGCCTCTCTCTCAACCTCTCTGCCGCTGCTGGGACTTCAATACATTGATTGGGTAAATATTTTTTGTCATTAGTTTAGAAGTATTAATTTAAGTTCGTACTAAGGTTTTTTATTTTGTTTTCGTTAGGGATATTTGTAATTAGCGATTGGTGGAGAACGATTGAGAAGGTATTTTATTCGTTTTATATATTAATAATGTTAATTTGTTATGTTTAAAATTTTCTTGTGAAGTTATATTTATATTATGTTGTTAAATTGTGTGTAACGTAGCACAATCTGTTGTGATGTACGAAGTTAATTGAAATTAACTTCGTGCTTTTATTTTTATGTTTAGTAACACTTAGTTTCCCGTTCGAGATTAGTTGGATTTCGTGCATGGATGCGTAATGCATGACTGCGGTCCAATTAATTCTTGAATTGTCCCATTATTTGGACAGTTTGGTAATGCATAGTGTTGTCACGTAATCTATGGCTACAGGATTAGGTTTCGATTGTGGATATTTCGTTGTCATCTCGGTACGTTCTTCGGGTGGTACATAGGTATTTATACCTATGGCCACCTCAAGAACTGTAGCGAGATGCTGGCGAAATTCATCCACGTCGAAATCTAATCTCATGTAGTCGTAGGTTACGTGGCAGGAGTATGCATTCCCGAATGGGATAGGACCCTTACCGGAGGCATAAGGTGACATTATAACTTCGTATGAAGTTGTTGTGATTGTTGTGTTGTGATTCTGGTTTCAGGAATTATGGACAGAAGGTGGATACAGAACCCGAACAGATGCACAGACGAATACTTGGATGGAATCGAGGATTTTATTGAGTTTGCACGTAGACACAACCCGGGTGCAACTAGAATCCGTTGTCCTTGTAGGAGGTGTAACAACATGTTATGAGAGACAATTGAAAATGTTGGATTTCATTTAGTAAGGAATTGAATGATTGAGACATATAGCATTTGGAACCTTCACGGGAAACAATTAGAGCATGCTTCGTCTTCAAATGCCATAAGAGTCGACAATGTTCAACCTATTGTGGATGCTAATGATCAAGTCATGGATATTATACAGGATGTTTTTCCATTTGCATCGACCAACATGAATCAAGAAGAGCAAGATGATGTGCCTACACCAATAGACAGTGCGGAGTTTGAACAATATGAGAAATTGTTAAAAAATGCCAACCAAGAGTTATACCCGGGGTGCGAGAGCTTTTCCGTTCTCACGGCCATTGTGGAGCTAATGCACGGAAAAATAAAGTATCGTATGTCGAACCTGTGTTTCGATTACTTTTTGGGGGTTTTCAAGAGAATGCTTCCGACGGACAATTGTTTGCCGAAAGACCATAAA